TCCTCGCTGAGCAGGGAGCCCGATGCGGGACTCGATCCCAGGACTCCAGGATCATGACCTGAGCCGAAGGCAGTCGCTTAACCAACTGAGCCACCCAGGTGCCCTATGTCTTCTTTTTAAAGACAAAGTGCGTATCTTTGACTTCCTCACCCCACTCCAACTGGAAAACTATGGAAGTTGTGTGGTAAAGATGACAAAACCACTTCTCCATATGTGGGCTGCCCATATCTGGACTGTCTCATAAGGTGGAATCAAACAGCGTGTAAACTTTTGGTAGTGGTTTTTTCCTTCAGCATAATTCCCTGGGGATTTATTCAAATAGTGCGCTATCAATAGTTCATTTATTTTTATTGCTGAGTAGTATTCCATGGTTTGTTTAACCATTCACTCATGGAAGAACATCTGGGATTGGGGCTATTAGTCATAAAACTGAGATGAATATGTAAGTACTGTATTTTGGGTGTGGACATAAGTTTTTATTTCTGTGGGAAAATGCCCCCAAATGTAGTTCCTAGGTCATATAAGGGTATATTTAGTTTTGTTTTTTTAAAGAAATTGACAAATTGTTGGGGCGCCTGGATGGCTCAGTCATTAATCATGATCCCAGGGCCCTGGGATCGAGCCCCTCATCGGGCTTCTTGCACAGCAGGAAGCCTGCTTCTCCCTCTCCCACTCCCCCTGCTTGTGTTCCCTTTCTCGCTGTGTATCTCTCTGTCAAATAAATAAAATCTTAAAAAAAAAAAGAAATTGACAAATTGTTTCCAGAGTGGTTATACCATTTTGCATTCTCACTAGCAATGGGTAAATGATCCAATTCCTCCACATTCTTGTCAGCATTTGGTATTATTACCATTTTTTATTTTAGTCATTCTTATATGTGTATAGCAATATCTCATTGCAGTTTTAATTTATATTTCCTAAATGGCTAATGATGTTGAACACCTAATCATGTTCTTATTTGCGCTCTCTATATCCTCTTTGGTAAAATGTCCCTTCATACCTTTGTTCATTTCTTATTTTACTGTTTTACTCTTTTAGTCTTAATATTTACTGTGTTATTGTTATTTTACTGTTGTTTAATATTTATTGCATTTATTGTCATTTTATTGTTGAGTTCTGAGGATTTTTTCTATATCTCAGATTTGACTTTAAAAACATGGCCAAAGGGAGAGGTCACATTGGACCTCATTAAAATGTAAAACATTTGCTCTTTGAAAGACCTTGTTAAAAGGATGAGAGGATAGACTACAGGCTGGAAGAAATATTTGCAAACCACATATCTAACCAAGGACTAGTAGCTCGTCCTAGTCCTAGGTCCTGAAGATTTCCTCCTGTATTTTTTTTATCAGAAGTTTTATAGTTTTATATTTACATTTAAGTCTTTAACCCATTTTGAGTAAGTTTTTTAAAATACTTCTTTTTATGCCTCTGGAAATATCTGTCATTATTTAAATTAGATGTAGAATGGGAAAGATTGAGCTGGGAGTGGAGTGAATTAGATTTTCCTAGTACACAAAGATGATGTACCTTTTCTCAGAAGGACATCTCAGGTTGGAAGGTATAAACCATAACATGGGGGGAAGAAAGAGTTTCTAGTATAGAGAATATCTAGCTTTTTTTCTAAAAGGCGGTACCTGGTTACAAAGTGTCATGAAGTGATTAAGGAAAAAAAGAGATTTTAAGGGAATACCATTCTCATACTTTTTTTCAAACCCATTTCCCACTTGTCAGTTGTATTATTTTGTAAAGTTAACATTAAAGTTTAGCTGGATTTTCCTCAAAGGCAATGACTGAGAATCTTAAGGTAGGGGGAGTCAAGGAGATAAAATGGGCATTAAACAAATCCATAAAATAGAATTGGTGGTAGAACAATAGATGTGCTCAGTTTGCTCTCATTATTATTATTATTATTCATCAACATATAATGTATTATTTGTTTCAGGAGCACAGGTCTGTGATTCATCAGTCTTAAACAATTCACAGCACTCACTGTAGCACAGACTCTCCCCAATGTCTATCACCCAGCCACCCCATCCCTCCCACCCCCTCAACTCCAGCAACCCTCATTATTATCGACTACAGCACACAATCACAAACAATTAGGAGCTTTCATTGACTAACAATGGTATGGACAATGAAATAAAAGTCATTTCTGTATCAGAGGACTCATCTAGATATTCTTTTGCACTTAGAAAGTGTGGTCACTGGGAATTTCCCATAATTGGATCTTACCTGTAATATCATATACTATTACTTAAAACTATATTTTCTTCAAACTGCAACATTTGATCTTAGGACATTTTAGAAGCTTTCTACAGATTAAGGGCAGGAGACACATTCAATAAACAGAGGAAATGAAATGTCCAGTCACAAACAGACTTTTATCCATTTTCCTTTTAGAGGAAACCACTTCAATTCCTTTTGATTTCCTTCAGTTATATTATTTTAATTAAATTACTCTCTGAACCACGCTTAAATTTTCAATTCCCTTTGAGCTATAGTAGAAACGACCCACAGATATTCAGTAAAGACTTGACCTGTAAAAGACAGAAATGATATGGATTCTCTAATGATAGCTTCTTGTGTATATGATCCAGAATGCACTCACCTGATACCTGATGAGAAAGGTACTAGGATCAGGGTTACTTGCATACCAATCACCTATTTTGACATATCATGTAATGATATGGTTGATGTAGACTCTTCGCAACCCCATTGTCTTGCTTATATCTGCTGTATGATCAAGATGACAATTACTCATTAGTTAGTCATGTTAGGCCAGGAAGCTATTTCTTATTCTCCTGACATTAGTTTTTGCTCTCCGGATAAAATACTTAATAAGTAGAAATTTAGAAAAGACTTTAGGATATCTTTTAGAAAGGATAATAGAGCTGAACATCCCCATTTTAGAGATGAAAAATCAAGACCCAGAGTCTTAATATTGTATTTCAGCCATGATAAGATACATATCGTTATTCATATGTTAACATCTCTAAAATCAATGTGTTTTCTATAATGAGTAGCATTGTACCGTGGTTTTTGGCCAGGTGGCAATCTTGATATAGTTGCCTGGTATGCATGAACTTGATGGCATGACTGGATAACTGTAACTTCATGTTTCAGTAAGTGCGCCACTTCAGGATCGTTAGAGTAAAGCATAATTCCTGGTCGAGGTCTAAAAACTTGTGTTAGTACCTTCTAGTGAGACATACAGAGTATCAGCCGCAAAATTCATATAACAGATGCTAATGGCTTGGAAAACAATCCTGGAGTTAATAGTAGAGCATTCTTTTAAAGACAAGCTGCCACAGAGGGCAATAATATTGCGGAAAAGAGGCCCATCAACTACTCTTAGTCAAAAATGGATTCAGAGCTATTGGACCTGACATATTTTCATTTTTACACTTTATAACATTGATACATGAGAAATCTATGTCTAAGTAAATCTAAAAGAGCTCCTGTGATAAGCATAAAATCAAAATTCTAAGTGATGTGGGAACATTATGACATGGTTTGACAAACTTTTCTTTGTGAGTGCAACACTCTTTCTTCTAAACAGTTATGAATATAATCAGCTCTGATTCCTTCTTGTTTCTTCAGCTGTTTTCCTATAAGCCAAGTTATTATCCATTCGTACTCTGAAGTAAAAAACCAAGATGTTCCAATTTTGATGAAGAAATCTAATCTTTATTTCTATGATGTTAGCACAATATACTCACACAATAGCTTTAATCTGTACTTAACAAAATACATTATAGCACTTTACAAACTTTATCAGTTTGGAAAACATTGCATAACATTTTATTAAACACAATACTTTATATATATTATATATATTTTCATAATTTTATTTACTTTAAAAAGATAATTACTCTCTTTATTCAATACTTGGTTTTCTCAGTAAAGCACAGCCTAACAAAGGAAGAAGTGCTCTCATTAGCAAATCAGATAAATAGAACACTAAGAAGAGATACCACCTGTTAGTCTCATTTATTTTAAATTAAGGTACCAGTGGAATGTAAACAAACATTTTTTTGGAATTTTTTTTTTTACAAAAGATGTATTATCAAATATACATGCAGAGGTCTGAGTTCTAGCGACTGTCATTATATTTCCTTAACAATGTGGTACAATTGGTTCAGTCATTAAAAACTGTAGCCTTTGGCACTTTGAGTAGAAAAAGAATATATCAATATTTATGTAAAGAAAAAAAAAACCCTCAATGACTAGAGAAGTACTTTAAAATCTTTTGTTAAGAAATAGGAAAGATTAGGAAACATCTTACTGCACCTGAAATGCTGCAGCTTTTTTTTTTCTTCAGAGTACTAAAACCAGTCCACCTTTCTCGCTATGAGATGGCAGAAGCCAGGAGGAGGGTGGTGACGGTGGTAGAGGCGAGAAGTGGGGAAGGCAATGTTTTACTCCCACTCCCCTCTCTGAGAAGGAAGTTGCCAGAAGGGATGTAGTTGAATCATATTTTATTGCCAGAGTTTTCAATTCTGCTGGTTTCAGCTAAATCCCTAATGCTTTTATGCTTTGAGGAGGTTGGTGACTCTAGAAAGCTTTGCCCTTTTCCTGTAGAAGTTGATAATGATATGATAGTCTTTATCTCTAAACAACTCCCTCTGTTCTCATGGAAAACAAAACCGATCAGATCAACCAGCTTTGTTGTTACCTTCCATCCCCTTGGCAATCATTGAGTGTATATTAGAATTCTTTGAGAAATGGTGTAAAAAAGGTTTGATACTAAGTTCTAAGAACCAAGTTATTTCTCCAAACTTAAATTTTTAAGTTGAAAAACACCTCCAAATGTTCTGGTTTTATCTTCTCATTGATAGTATTGGTTTCCTTTGATTTAGGCTGAAGGCTTTATTCAGGATAGGTAGCAAAACTGTTGTTTGCATATTAAGCACAAAATGGTGCCTATTTAGAGTTTTTGAAGAAATACATTCTTAATTTACACTGTGAGATATTTTCACTTATCAATTTGCATTTTTTCCCAGATTCTTCCTGTTGATGTCCAGTTAACAAAATATCTGAGGGAAGAAGGTAAAACCCAACTCCTGTTGCTCTAATTTACTGGTTGTTAGGATATCAAAAATTAATAATCTGGAACAAAATGAAGTTTTTGGATTACTTGTTAAGATAGCAACCAAAGCCAGCTGGTTGGAGACATCCAAGGATAGACTCAACCAATATTGCTGGCAATGTAACCCACAATGTCAAGTGTTGGTTCAGATTAGTTGTTTATAAATTCACAGCGATATATTTTGCTCAAGGAATGTCAACTGTTATTCTTGCTTTAAAAATAGAAAAACATATCCATAACATCAAAAAAATATTTTAATTCATAAATAAAGGAGGAGCCATAAAATGCAAAATATGATCACAACAATTTCAAAAGACTCTAAAAAGATGTATTTTTAAAATTATGCAAATTTACTCACTAAAAAACAGAATCAGTAGTAGTACCTATACTTAAAAAGTAAGCAGCAAAAAAAAAAAAAAAAAAAACCTATGTAGAAAAGTACTAGTTACTCCCTCTCACTGAAAATATTCCTACACAATTTTTGTTGTCGAAGAAAGCATAATTTTGAAGAAATGCACAAAACCTTTTCGTGTTTTTTTGACTGTGACAGAGCCACTACAGAGAAGCTGCGGGGTGTCCTATTCTAACACAAAGCAGCCAGCATCTTCTTAATACAGTAGCATTTCTTTGACAAGGAATTGCACACCACTATTTCACAGCTAAATAGAATTTGAGAGTTTACATGGTATATGTACTATAATAATCAGCACCACCCTTACTGAGCTTTAGGTGCAGATTCTGCAAAATGAATATATAATACTGCATGGCCTCTGCTGTAGGGAAACATGGGTTCTGGATTCCCACAGCTAATTATAAAGAAAAATCCCTAAAGTTGGCACATTCAGGAAGTAAAATAGTATACACAGAAGGAAACCACTTTCTTCTGATACTGCCTTCTGCAAACCTTTTGAGTTTGAAGATAGGTCTTACGATTCTTCACATTATCACATTACTTAGGTTCTTTCATTGTGCTTTTCCCTCCCCTTGATGTGAAATCTACAAGCTTGAGTGTAGTAGTTCTCAAGAGTCATTGAGCTCCGGGCTGATGGTAGATGACCCAGTTTGATGAGAAGGCTTCTCAATCCGCTGGAACAGAGCACAGATAGAATCAACACGTGGTCTTTTGGGGTTCGCTCAAGTGACTGAATTCCATCACTCAATCTTTGTAAGCCCGCGTTGGGGAGGTTCCCTTGTAGAAGATATTTCTAGTGTTCTCAGGGCTGTTACTTCTTTCAGGGATTAAGATGATGTTGCCCTTTCTCCGCAGGGTAGAGTCGCGGGAGGAAGAAATGGACAGCGTCTCTGAACCAATTTCGCTGCCCTCTACTGGGGTGACCCGGATGGTGGTGATGCCATGGTGGTGATGCTCATTGTTATCTATGTTGCTTCTCTTGCGGTCTCCAGAGCCAAAACTGTCTTTCAGGGACTCACAGCTTTCTGAGTCCCTGTTGAGATCATTGAGCTCATAAGTTTGGCGAAGGCTGCCCTTTTCAGGGGCTTTCCATTTCCAGGAGCCACTACCTTCACCCTCCGTGGACGGGATCTGAATGATGGGCCTGTTGTTCTCTGGGTGAGCCTCAACCCTTACGATCCCACTGGGTTCGTGGTCTGTCAAGGTTTTGTAGCGGATGGAGCCAGTGCAGGAGACCGTGCTGCCTTCGGTGTTCTTGGGGCTGCTTTGGAGGACGCCCTGCTGCTTGGACATAGCGATTACTTGCATGATTCGGGGCTGACTGTTGCTTCTATTACAGGCCACAGTCTTCTCGGCAGCTTTCAACCACTTGGCTCGAGCAGAGCTGCTTTTGGGGGAGGTGCTTATGTTTTCCTGGGTCTCCTCAGGGATGTGCACTAACTGTGAGGATCCAGGGCGTGACTGAATGGACACTCTGGGTCCCCCAGGCATGCTATTGTTACACCCGGGAACAGTGCCAGGCTGGACCTTGAGGTACTGATTGCTGGGAGCATGGTGGTCTCCATTCACCCCCACCCTGGAGGGCTCTGAACTTGACCTCATTTCTATGGATCTAGGTGGTGACTGTCCAGGCTCAGTCTCTATAACTTGCAGGGACAACTTCCGACTTTCATTCTTATTCTTCCACTGGGTGAGAAGCTGCTTTGATCGAGCAGAATCCATAGAGGCATGAATGGAGGCATTTCTTCTGACAGGGTCTTCTACAGATGGGGTGTTGGCTCTAGGCAGGGTATTGCTAAAGGTAACCATGTTCTCCTTCCCCATGGGGCTCCGTGGAGTGATGATTTCTACGTCGGCATTTGCCCTTTTGAGGTTTGTCAACGAGCTAGCATCTCTGTGGTTTCGGTTGAGGATGCCTTCTGTGTGAGCAATTCCATCGCTGCTGCTGCCATTTTTAGCGGCTAAAACTCGGCTGGGGTCTTGGTTGAGGTCTGTCAGAGATCTGAGGGCATCTCTGTGCTGAAACATACTCTCTTCGCTAGGCAGGAAATTCCCCACAGCATATAGGCCCTAGTATTGAAGAGAAACAATGAACAGCACGCACTAGAAGACACGGTTACTAAGAATTTGTCCTAGAGGACCCACTGAAGCATATAATAAATAAGGTATGTGCTCTCTATACACCATTGACTAACACAAATAATAAAAAACCCAAACTATAATTACTCAGGAAATCATTTATGAGTTATATCATAAATCACTGAACTATCTGTTCAGAAATCAGGAGCCCGTCATTTTTTATTCGTTGGATTTTCTCTCCTTTCTCCATCCTACTGAGTGTTTTTGTGAATCTTATCCTCTGTATGTTTTGAGAAGAAAAGACAGACAATGAGAGAAATAAGGTCATTCTTCTGCTTTTCAAAGCAATTCATTTTCCTGGATTTAGGAACCTCTTGTTGAATGACACCTTGAATAGCTTAACTGATTTATTTTACCTTCCATTTTTAATCACACCTTCTGATGGAAAGCAGGGGAGGTGTGAAAAATATAAAACAATGAATCATTCATAAAGCATGCTATCAGGTTTTGCAGTGAGGTCAGAGACAAAATGTTGTTACACCTCAGATCGAGCACAGCCCTGTGTGTTCAGCATTGTACAGAGAATTCTCAAAAGAGAGGTTGACCATCATCACTAGTTTGGAGCACCCACATTCTTTCCTTTAACTTGGTCTTAAGTTTGGAAGTAATATTTGATCAATTCAGTGCTAGTACACTAAATTTGAGCTAAATTTTATTTAATCTTGTCTTTATACTCAACCTACCAAGTTTTTGTTATTTTAGATTTGGGGGATAAAAATTTGGATAAGGTAAAGTTTGGATTCAGAATTTTTACAATTTTTACACATGGATGACCAAATCCCTGTTGGATTTTCATCTTCTGAGATGCTTAGTTTAGAGATAAGAGAAAGCAACAGATACCTATTTGGGAGCTAATTTCCATAGATGGTAGCCACTTTTCAAATCAAACCAAAAGAATCCCATGGATTTAACATTTTATAGAGTGCTTAACAATTTACAATAGCATTGGCTTAGAACTGATGAATTTCCAATTTCAGGCATAGAGTGCAAACAGAAATGAAATAAGTCCAGCTTCTGCTTCTCTATTTTAATTCTTGGTTCAAATTTTCTTCTAAATGTATCTATCTCTGCTCTCACTGACAGAGTTCTCAGGATGAGCAGTCCCTACCTAATGCTCTATTAATGATTGTATTTAAAGGTGTAAGTTTGGGAAAATCGTCCATTAGACTGTAAGTAAACTCTGCCATATTGTTCAACATGCAGTGCCCAACACTGTGCTCAATAAATATAGTTGCTTCATCCTTGGTGTGATATGAAATAGCCAGTTATTACTCTCATGTAATAAGTGAAGAAACAGGCTTCTGAGAGATTATGTAACTTGGCCAAATGTAAGATACTTGAGATTCAAGCCCAAATCCTTCGGACTATGGAGCCCAGGCTAATTCCAGGACATCATGAAATCACACCCACACAAAGGCAATGCATGAATTTGAGAGAGGCAGTTCTCAGTCTTCCTTGCCTATTCTGTAAGACACATTGACAGTCAACACTCTCATGGGAAACCCAAGCTTATGCCCAGTTCCTGGCCTGCTAACTGTACTTTGATCACTTTCTCCTCCACTGAAGAAAGCATGCGTGTAAACAGGAGATTTAAAGTGACAGTCCTGACCATGCTAGTTTATAAAAGTGAAAAATAAATCATCGCTTGCTTCAGGGCTTTTACAACTTTTTGTCATCATTGTCTTGTAACACCTTCCACAAACAAGGGCATCAAGATCCCATGATTGAATTGCTGTGATAGATGATTTTCATTTCTCTGTCAGTTTCTCTCAGTTTCCTTGGTGACTGCCTGTTTCTCTGCATGCTGCTGGTATGTGGGTGTGGCCTGGGTTCCTTTCATTCTTATGACCTGGCAATTTCATATACCTCTGTAACCATAATGGTACTTCCACCAATACTGTCCATGACTTCCAAGTCTATTTCTCCACTACAGATTGCCCTTTTGAGCTCCAGATACAACTCTTCAACTGCCTATTGATCCTTAAATTGAGCTCATCAAACCCTTTTCCTCCACCAACTTGCTTCCTCCATCATGTTCCTGGTCTGCTAATGAAGTCACCATCTGCCCCGTCTTCCAAGCTAGAAACCTGGCTGTTATCTCTCATTCCTTCTGTTCCCTCACCTTCCACTTATACTTGCTCTTTCATACATCCATTTTTGTGCCTGTGCGATTCCTTTGCTTGGATGTCCTTCCTCCTTTCCTTACCCTAAGAAAAAAATTTCTTATTTCTTAATAACCACATCACTTCTGTGAAGGCTTGTCTAAATTCCTTCTTCAGTGTGCTATTCCCAAAGCATTTTGTTCACACCCTAATATACCATTTAACATCCTGCAACTATCTATATTCTTATTAGTCTTTACACTGAAAACTCTTTAAGGCTGGGTCTTATTTCTCACTGTATGGATGCTCAGTCTAGTACCTGGCACAGATCAGATATTGAATGAGTGAATGAATGAATGCATGAAATGGACAATCTCAATTTCCTTCTGCTGAGAATATTTTCACTGAAGGAAGACTGGGCTTGAAAATAGAGTACTGTTAAAGAATTCAGTATTAGTTGGTGCTAATATATCCAGGTGCTACCTTTGTGTTTTTGGGCATATTCTATAAACTTCCACCAAACCTTTACTGTCATGAACCTTACTTTCACTAATACTCACTTTCCTCATCTGTAAAATTATACTAGCAAAAATAGTCCCTGACTCTTTCTGGTGTGTGTGTGTGTGTGTGTGTGTGTGTGTGTGTGTATGAGGATAAAATGCAATAATCTTAAAGTTGCAGTTGCTGGTCCATGGTAAGGGTTTAAAATATTATTTTGCTAAAAGTGGGAAATGTGTTTTGGCTTAGGATGGAGATGCACTCAGAGATTTTCTCACAAATATAAGCTACATTGCAAGTAAATTATTACAGTGCAAAAATGTTCTATGCATGTTTTCCATTTAAACTGTGGTTTATCAAATGAGAATAGTAAATTATTTACCAAGTACAGAGCAATTCCTCCTCCTATTAAAAAGCCACAGTAGACATCAACTGGGTGGTTCTTATACTGAGTTATCCGTGTGAGCCCACAGATGATCCCACAGATGATAAAGGTGAAGACCAAGAGAGGTTTGAGAAGCTTAGAGGAATCTGTTAATGTGGAATTGAAGTACATCTGAAAAGTGAAAGCAATCTGGTAAGTACGTTAGAAAGGTCATTTTACTATTAAATTATAATCATATAAAAAGTTAGACTCAAAGTCTAATTCGTACACTTGACATCAACTTTAATGCTCCATTCCCCCTGCTATGGCTATATTCTATACCTGAAAAAGAAGTCCATAGCAAAACTCATCAAATAAAAAAAAGATCTCATTTAATTACATGAAATCTTGAAAGATAAATTGAAGCAGTAGAATTAGCCAGATAACTATTCAGTTTCCATGTTACTTGTCACATAATTGCTGTCAGCTTTTCTCGCATAAGACCTGATAGACTACTGTATTAATCAGATACTATGAGGAGTCACTGTATGTCACTTACCAAGTTTACACTGACTTTGAACTCACTGTTACATAAATACTGAAAGTAAAGCACATATGTGTGTGTGTGTATGTGTGTGCTTAGCACAATTCTTTCAGTTTGAGAATTTATAACATTCACATAGTTCACAAGACCTTGCCATGAGATATATTACACTGAAGGGATACCAGGCTGAATAAATATTCTGACTGTGTAGAAAATTTCTTTTACTGTACTGTTGTGTATAGTATGATCGAATTTCTGCTTTTGATGCAATTGTGTTGAAGGACTGCTGTGCTCAAGTTCACTGTTCTGTTATTACACGGCTATATCATCTAATTAGTCACTTGGAGACGACACTTGTTTGTCCTGATATTTTCTAGGACACAGACTGATGAAAAAGAGTCAGAGACTTACCGAAACGTACACAGCCGCGAAGGCAGCCAGGGTCGCATGTTGAGAAGGAAATGATTTCCTGCCAAAAGAAGACAGTCAAATGATGCCTTCTATTTCAGATCCACTGCTAACAATCATCTCAAGAACGCTGGGTGGTTAAAATGTTCAACTTAAAAGCCTCGAGGCAATAAGTGATAACTTTAATTTCTCTTTAGTTTTCTGGGGAAAGATCTGAGTGATAAAATAAATACTGCTAATCACTATTAGAATTAAAGAATAGTAGTAATGAGCTTTCCAATAGAAAGTGCTGGCTTTGGAGGGGATCACTTTGTTACACCATTGGAATGATGGTTGAAAATAGAAGTGGATTGGAAAACATTATAATTGTTCTTTGGTATTCAAATTATGTCAGCTTAAAGTCAAAGTCAGGTTCTGCTTCTTCAAGGGCACTTATTAACGTATTTTCAACTCTTAAACTGATCTTGAGAATTCACTGAATGATAAATGCAATTCTTATAGCAATCACTTACTGCCCTTTGTCCTTTATAATTTATTTCTTTTGAATTTCCAAAACATTATCTCTTGCCAAAAAATTTCATTTTTACTTTATTGATTGAAAAAAACTGAATTTTCTTGAGTTTTTCTGTCTTTTATTTTCTAGAATGCAAGGTTAGAAGCTATACTGATCTACTGGGTTTATACAAAGAAGATGCACGTATAAAACTCTACCAAAAACAAGATTCACATGATTTTTTTAAAATACAACATACAATGGAGATGCAAATATAAATATTTAATCTTCCACTTAAGCAATACAGGACACATATTGAGTGTAATTCATGATTATTTATAAACTTCCTAAATTGAACCAATTGTGATAACCTAAAACCATAATGAGGTCTAAGGTAGATCGCAAAACATGAATAGGATTTGGTGATATGAAGATTAGTGGCAAGAATGTGCGGCTGAAATTTGTGAGACAGAAGGATTTGGAATAAGCCACCAAAGAGTTTCTATGGTGTAACCACTAAAGAAATCACTGAATTGAAAATAAAGAAAAGAAAAATAAAACCAAAATCACTATGACCAAAAAATGTATGTCTAAAATGATACCCCATGCTATTCATGAACAATGAAAACACTGACATGGGAAGGTTTAAAATCTCAATTTCTGACCTGCCACTGTTGATAACCGTAAGGTCAGATCCTGAGCAAATATCTTCTACAATGTAGGAATTTTCTTTGCAAGACACATTCAGAGAGGTGTAGTTTGGCTTGCACACGGTCAGAAAGTATGGTGCCTGATACCCTGTGGAGAGCTGTATGATATCTGTAATGAGAGCTGTGGAGCACAGTCCAAACACATGAACACCTATACGCAAAGGGAAAGAAATTGTTATCAAGTTAGTTCTTAATGTCGACATTGTGCCATCATCAACCATGTTTATTACACATTAATGTGATGACCTGCAAATCTGTCATGATCGTTTTCTCTGAGTTTATTTAGAGAAAATAAGGATAGAAAATTCCTAAACCTTTAAACCAGATACTTAATTCCAAAATAAGGGCAACGAGTATATCCAAGGTAGTCATTTGGGGTATTTTTTGTCAGTTTGGTTAAATAGGACCCATTCTTAATATTATTACCATAGGTCACTTGTCAGACACCTGAGACATGTGAAGATGACCAACTGTGTGATTTGAGGAGGATTAAATATGCGGAATGAAGCAAAATTCAAAATAATTTAAAAAGTGCTTAGCATGTTTGAGCTTCCAGGGCTCCCTCTCCCCAGTACTCCTTAACTCTAGCCACAGTTGCCAAGCTTTACAGAACTGGTTCCAACTCCCCACAAGCTGTAGTCATACAGGGAATGCTAATTAAAACAGAGAAGAAGGCAGGCGGGCCCTGTCAAGGAAATAATAATCTTATCTTGGGTACAGGGCTGTGGGAGACTTCCTGCATATTTGGAATTCAGAGATGATGTTCTTGTATTTCCCTGTCCAAATTCTTTCTTTTGTCTTCTGGGGCCAGCCTCAAACCAGAAACTCACAAACTCTGATTCAGACTTGTTCACTCGAACTCCATTCCTGCTCCAAGTCCCTTGCGTGGGAATCTAGCTCTGCTCACATACACATGATCTGAACTCGCCAGCTTCCTCTACATTGTCTCGACACCCTGGATTCACTCTGACTTGATAGTCTGGATTTTGATTCATGATGTGCTCATAGAAATCAATACAAGAGGCAGCTGGATAATTCTTCAATAAATTCCTCCAGACCGTGGTCGCCTGCCTGCCTGTTACCCTGTTTTCCACTTTCCTTTTCTGCTTATCCCCACCTAGCAACGATTCTCCCAATTCCTTCTCCACCTGATCACCTGGGATTCAAGACATAGGACCTTTCTTTCTACATTCTAATTCCTAGCAGCATGCAAGGTCTTGGAGAAGAGTATGCTTCAGTGGGGAAGCCCATCCATTTTTATCTTTGGAAAATGAGAATCTCCAGTCCCTCAGAGGATGGGGTTGCTAGGGTAGGATGGACCATTCTCACAGGCACAAAGCTTTTCACAGAGGTTATATGCCCCTTTGTCCAAAGCATTTGTTACATTAGCGTAATTTTTCTCTCAGATCTGTTATATGTCCTGAAGATTTCTTTCTTTGCTTCAATTTGTGACCCCACTAAGGGGCCTATTCTTGGCTTACTATCTCCAAGTACCTTGATTAGTGGAGCAGAGTCTAGGGCATGATTTAGACCAGACTTTTCCTCTAGTGGGAGAGAAGGTTGTATTTAATTATTGTCTAGATATTAGATAAAATTACCTATTCTTTTGAGCTGAGAGGTTACCGGTGAAGTAATTTTACTGATTTACTGGGAATGAATGTAAAACATTCATACTGGTGTGGTATACTGTGTTTTGACTTCTCAACTCGGTTAAAAAAACAAAGAGGCCTGTGACTCAAACATTAAGATGGTCCCAGGCTAATAAGAAGAGATGAGGGTTTAGATAAAAAATAGGAGGTAAAGTTAGAGGATAGAACCAAGGAAAAAGCCATGATTCAGTTCTCTGTGGTGACATTTCCATGTGCAGTAACTTCTGGATGAAAACACTCCAGGAGAACTGAAATGGAATCATTGATGTGGCTAAACTAATTTCTGAAGAGTTATCCATTCATAATGGCCTGCTGACATTTATTCTCCATTTTAAAAAATGAACACACATCCGGAGAAACCATTTTAAAGTAAATTTATGCTTCCACCACAGCTAAGACAAAAATATACTGAAATGCATGGCATGTTAGCTCTCAAAACAAGGACTATAACTGTAAATAACACATTACAGATACAAAGCTCCAGTCTTAGTGTTTTAATAGTTTTTTTTGTATAATGTAAAACTCATCATGTACCCAAAATTATACATCTAAATTATAGCTTTAAAGACTTAATATCTGTAATTAAATATAACATTTCTATTTTGAAAAAAAAAAATTTCCTTTCTTTGTGGTTCCCCACACCCACCAACGAATCTGACGGCTCTTCTAAGGAAGGAGTTGAAATTGCAGCCTCCGGCATTAATGTTGGGCTCCAGTCCAACCCCATTTCTTCTTTTGGACAGGCAACAGTAGAGAATTCCTTCCCCTACCATAATCTGCAAAGACAGGATGCTGTTCAGAATGGACTCGATGGGTACAAATGAATTCTAAGTTATCTCTTAACACATCATCAGTTCAACAAGGTAAAGATATATTTTTCTAAAAGCGTTAGAGATGTGAGCAATTTCTTTTGAGTAGTTGAGGGAGCAGTGAGAAGAAGCAATCAGGGCACTGTGGAGAGCACTTGTTGAATCTTCTGTGTGCCTATGTACTGGTCAAGGGTGTGATATTGTCCTGGCATTTTCTTGCTGTTGCAGCACTCAGTCTTTGGACCTTTGCTCAACAACATCCAGGGATGATGCCTTATTGATTAATTGCGCGGTGACTGATTCTGCCCTAAGTCTTAGAGTCTTGGCATTTCATCTCTTAAAGCACAAAAACAAGATGGCTGGGGGGTTGGGGAGGAATAAAGAAAGCACCAGAGCTAGGATTAGAAAATTTTACTAGCATATTATCCCAATAAACCAATTCGGAATTGAACAGAAGGTTCAATCCATGGAGAGTATGCCTGAGGTTAGAAAGGTGTGATCTAAAGCCAAGCTGTCCAATAAAAATTTCTATGATGATAAAAATATTTCCCATCCTGCCCAATAGGGTCACCACTACCCACATGTGGCTATTGAGCCTTGAAGTTTAGCTACTACAACTGAGGAGCTGAATTTTTTATTTCATTTCACTGTATTTAATTAAGTATTTAAAATTTAAATCAATTTAGACTTAACACGGAAAGAGTCACATGTGGATGGTAGCGATTTTGTTGAAGAATGCTGGGTACTGTTTCTTAGGTATAAGATTAGAAAGTGTGTTTACAGGGGTCTAGGTGGCTCATTCGGTTGAGTGTCTGACTCTTGATTTTGGCTCAGGTCATGATTTCAGGATCGTGAGACTGGGCTCCACGTGGGGCTCTGCGCTAGGCATGGAGTTTCTCTCTTAAGATTCTCCCTCTCTCTCTGACCCTCCTCACCCCGCGCTTTCTCTCTCTCTCTCTCAAAAAAAAAAAAAAGGGTTTACAATGGACAGAGAGCCATACTGTAGTATCAGAAGGATTAACATGTTAGATGAAGACGTTAAGATAAAGAAATGTGTATTTGCTGTAGGATTCTAAGACATAGGACATCAAGAAATGGACCCAATACATTTAGGCATCATTTCCTTCAAGAAGTTTTCTTTGAAACACCCTACATCACCCTAAATTGAATTATGTCTCCTTCTTTGTGGCTTCCTTAGCACCTCATCCTTCCTTTTTAGCATAGCTTGGTTAAAAGACACCTCAATTGTTCATTTGTTTGTCTCTCACTAGACTATAACCCCCTGAGGGAAGAGCCATTTCTTATTTACCTTTTATTCTCACTGTCTAGCACAATGGTTGGCATTGTGGGATTTGCATTTGTTACCTTCACTGTGGGATGCTTATTGGCTAATTACCCTGGGCTTTCAGGCCGTTAGTTATGCTGTACAAGAGAAGCAGGATTTGAAATTATGAGTTTTATTTATGTAAAAAAAATTCAAATATTTAAGATTATCATGTAAGAGATTATTGTGAAATGCGACATTGACTTCTAGAAATGTGTGGAGCTGAGAAGAGTCAAATTACAGGAGATACTGGCAGTCTCTTAGATATAAGTGATGATGCCACTTTAAAGGTCATAGTCATGATAAGGGGCTCAAACAAATTTCCCAAGGGAAACTTCCCACTTCTCACTAGCTTAGCATTTGTTTTATGAAGTATTTAAAATTATAGTTTTTTTTTTTTAAACTAATGACAGTAAGCCTACGACCTTCTGTTTTGAGTGTTCAATCTGCTATATTTAATTCTGTAGGTATTATGGTATGTGTATAATTATAAAGAATCTTAATTTGTATAAAAAATAATTTTCTTAATGGAATTCTACCAATAACCACACATGTGTGAAAATCATGTGGCATATATGATAAATATCCTGAAGATCAATTGTATAGAAATCATCAAAAAGTGGTTTTTTTTTTCCAAATCATTGAACAGTGAGTTAATTATTTATACTTCTTGAAAAATATCATCCTACATTATCACTTTAAGTTAGACACAGAAACACAATAGGTCCTATATTCTGCATAGATAGATGTGACATGATATACCACCCACATAGAATAAGATAATGGTTATCTCAAATTCATCATTTCAAGAAAATTAACCACTCATCCTTGAAATGCACTGTTGTATGGTTAAAGATATTGATTTCATCCTCACTTCCTCAAAAATAATTCTGTGAATAATTTTTTCTCCTCTTTTCAATTATATATGTAATGATTCACATTTTGTCCATGAATGCTAAATTATATAAGAATTTATTTGTGTAGTGCCATTAGGGAAATGTGTCTTATCATACAACACAATAGTCATGATCTCAAATGACCTTGAGATTTCAGGAGTTTTATTTTAGTTTTTTAATATGCTCAAAACTCATATGTCAAGAGAGTGCTTTAATACTATTTGGCTTGATTATAGATAGAGGTTTCTTGTCATTATTTTGACATTACCCAACTGTCCTCTCTAAGAAACACATCAATTTTCTCCTCACACTTCTATTCATTTAACCTTGATCTACATGTCACTGCATGAATTTTCAAAGTGCTTCAATTTTGTCCAAAGATGGAATTCTCCTCACGGGGAGGGGAGATGTTTCCTGATGTATTTCTAAATGCGCCTGCTCGTTTCCTCATTCTGAATGGCATGCTGGGTGTGCTAAAATACGGTTTCAGAGTTTAGGCTTTGACAATAAAATTATTTGTTGCTTTTGTCATTTGTAAATAGAAAACAATTTCTGAAAAGGATCTTTTCACAATATTCTGTTTAATCTGTATACAGGCCAAAAAAGAATTTTTTTTTTTTTTTTGCTTGTTGAATATCATGGGCAGGTTTTTGGAAGAGATTCTGAAGTGGCTCGGGTTCAGGGGAGACACAGTGACAAATATATTTCTTTTTATTAATCATGTGGGCACTGCCCTAGGAATAGCCACCACAGGGAGAAGTCACAATCAAAAAGTCTTTGTTGGGGCGCCTGGATGGCTCAAGTCATGATCCTGGAGTCCTAGAATGGAGCTCTGCATCGGGCTCCCTGATCAGTGGGAGTCTACCCCTCCCCTCCTCTGCCCCTCCCCTCAGCTCATGCTCTCTTTTGCTCTCTCTCTCACTCTTTCAAATAAATAAATAAAATCTTAAAAAAAGTGTTTGTTTTGAAAACAGCAAAAGAGAATGACAAAAAGTATAATATTTATCATAGTATCTTCAGTGTTTAAATTTGCAGTGAATGTCTTTTGGAAACCCTAATACATTTAATGTTGTATATTTTGATTGTCATAAAGATAAAGTTACTGTCTAGGAACTATAATCAAATTCCAGTAGAATCCTCCTATAAAGTTAGATATACTTATTCTTTAATAAAATGTAATAGAAGTTTACTTCCAGGAAAGAGAAAGTATACATTATTTCTGTTCATATAGATTACATGAAGATTTATGATATCCTGTGTTGTTTTCCCTGAGACACAATCTCTAAAGGACTGAACAAAATGCTTGTTTCATTATTACTTTAAAGTAAAGGAAAAGTGAGTATTCAGGATGAAATTTTCCAATTTAAGGGCAATTTCAGAGACATAAGAAAATGTATTTCACAGACCTGAAAGGAATTTTTACAGTTTCTGATACAACATCATGAAGACAGGTTATATTTTTAAAATGTCTCTCAAAGCATTTAAAAAAATCTGAAAAGCAAACACTAAATGATTTATATTTAAAGGCCTGTATCAAAAATCAGTTGATCTTCTTTTGTTCATGTAAAGATTCTTTTAAAAAATATTGCTGACATGAGGCCTTTTGTTTTACTTGCTCTTCTCTCAGAGGAGTGGGTGAATACAGTGCTTCTCCTCACAGAAGTGGCCTTTATTTTTTTTTTAAATTTTTATTTAAATATAATTTACTTAACATACAGTATATCATTAGTTTCAGGGGTAGAATTTAGTGATTCGTCAGTTGCATATAACACCCAGTGCTCATTACATCAAGTGCCCTCATTAATGTCCATCAGAACTGGGCTTTAAAAACCCGTTCCAAAGGAAGGATTCCTCTTGTTTCCCCTCCTCCGTCACCACCCCATTTTGTAACAGGTTTATGCTACCATATAGATAAAAAGAAAACAGCAACCTTGAAAGTTGGCAATTAGAGTCTACTTGTTATTTTTCACCTTCAGGAACAGAGGAGAAGGAGATTAGAGTAGTAACTATGTAGTAAGATTAGAGACAGAATTATGGATCTGGAACAAGAAGACTATAGACCCCATAAGACCAATGTTGAGAAAATGAATGTTTTGGGAGAAGTCCTTAAAGATAGAGGAGAAAATGAAATTGGAAAGAAATCTAGAAGAAGTATGATACATGTTTGGAGAGAAAGGTGTGAAAGCAGTATTTGATGTGAGCAAAATCAAGATTTGTTTTACCACTGAGTTGGTTATCCAGAGCTACGAACCCATTGTGGAAGAGAAGAACCACTGACTTCCTGGAGTATTGTGGAGCTCTAAGTGATATGGAGGAACTTAGGGACCCCAGAATATAAATATTTCCCTAGTCTGCCTCTTGTTCTATTAAGAGGCATGCAGCCACTATGGGGGCCCTGTGGAGACCCCGAGATTTCGTGGGCCCTTTGTAGGAGGAATTGGCACTGAGCTCCTGAGGTCCAACTTGGTGAGAGGTAGCCATGGCAGATTTGCCCCGTCATTTCTCAAGGCTCAAGAAAGCAAGCTTTGGCCTGGAAGCCCCGGAAAACATCCCTAACTGGCATATTGAGAATTTATTAAGGAAATGAAGGATTCACAGATGCAGGAACACAGCGATGAGACCAAGGTCATTGTCCCCAGGATGTGTAACAGTGTCAGCAAAGGGACTGATGTGAGGTAAACGGTGTCAGCAACAAGTGCCACAATTAGACTTGCTTTCCTAACAACTTAATAAAATACCCTAGGGAAGAAAGGCTTCTGGACATATAAAAAACAAATTATTTAAATGATTAAATATCAAACATAGTCTTGTGTTAAATAACACAACATGTTCAACATGAACATTTGTACAGAATTTTATTTATTTTATTTCAAGTATTCTATTACAATCAATTTGGGGGTTACACCCCAACTAGGAGAAATGCTTTCTGGTGTAACAGTTTAAAGCATACACTCTTTTTGCTCTTGTCAAATGACTGGTGATATGGGTTTTTTAATAAGTCATTAGAGAAATGACAGGAAAATGCTGTTATTCTGAGCAACACTGCACTTTAAATATCTTTTATTAGAGTCTCAGCTATTTCCAAGCACATCATTAATAGTTCCAATCACCCTGGAGTTAACTGGAGTTCAAATAACTCATTAATTTACAAAGGATTTTGAGACCTTTTAAGTATGATAAAGTTGTATGGAATATTAAGTTCTATTTTACCTCCTGAAAATATTTTGTATGATTTATTTAGAGTGTAAACATACGCTGTAATTATTTAATGCAGGGGAAATTTTGAAAAAACAAATTCATAGCTACATAAAAGTATAAACTTTGGAAGGCTTATGTATAGACTTTTCTAAAATTGCTGATGTGCTGAACCAGAATTGGCCGATTCATTAGGGAATCTTGTAAAAACTCCATTCAAATACAGCTTTTCATTTAATAACCACTTCCTCTGACATTCATGAGCATGATAAAAGCGAACTAAGAGCTCCTACTGGTAGAAATAAATATTATTAACCTTGAAATATGTTTCTTGTCCCTTATGTGGGATTCTGGGAGCAGAAGAGATGGTGGAAAGGCTTGTCCAGTCTTACTATTAATGGATTAATGAAAATGTGTTTATTCATAATGTGTAAGTTAGCAAACTAAAAATAACTATGTTTTAAATTCAACTCCAGTAGGTTAGGGCATTTCTTTATAGTATATATTTAAAAATACAAATGCCTGTTTTGCATCTATTTTATTTTTGTGTGTGCACGCATGCGTGAACCAACGTGCCAGGAATGTGAGTTGTGCTCTTTTTACCTTATAACTGTTGGTGCTCAGTGCTCATAATCAATAAAAAATGCTAATCCAGTACAAAATGAAACTGTAAATGATATCAACATGCTTTTTGAGAAGAAAGTTCTTGGCTATATAATTAATTTGTTTTTCCCTTCCAGCTTTCCAGACTGCAGATACCATATCAACACATTAATTAGGAAGTATATCAGAAATATCATACTAGCTATTCAAGGGGAATTATGCAGTTACAAACATTTTTTTAGAATGATTTTGTAAAACTGAACATTAGAGACCCATCAATTTTGCAATTATACAATCTTAACTTTTAATGCCAGTAATTTTCAACTATTAAGTCACATGACATTTTCAAAATATCTCAAAGACATGATCTGTTCCAAGATGTCGAGTTCACTTTTTGTTTGTTTTTAACCCATTTGTTACACACTTGTGGTCATTCTTAGTTTTTTGGGGACTGGCAAACATAATTTGGGGGCAATTCTTACCGTAATTGCAGGTCCAGCAAAAGCCAAGCTCAGCAACATGAGGAATGGAATTGCCTCCTGGGTTGGCTCAATATACGGCATGCTAAGACTCCGGTCATAGCAGCTAAATCCAGAGTGCACAGGTTTGAAGACATCCGTGAGTTCAAGGAAATACAGGCTAACCACTGATGATGCCAATATAGGCAACTGAGAAGGAAGGACATAGAAGAGCAATTCATTATGGTGCACGGCTCACACATAGGACCAGTGCGTCTTTAAGAGGAAACAAATGGCTATTTCCCCTTCTCTCACCACTCTCTTCCAATCTCAGACTTAAAACCTTTCATAAATGCTATGGTTTCTGCTTTCAGAACATCTAATTCACCTACCTCTGTCACCAGCCTGCTATGAGCCCATGTCTTGTCCCTCACCTTTGCTCTCAGATCACCTCCTAACTGGTGTTGTACTTTCAAGTCTTCTCTCCCCACCCCACCTATCCTTTTTCCACCCAGCAAACCAAGGGGTCTTTGGAAAATATTTTTGATCATATCCCTCCCTATCTTAACCACTATAGTGCTTTCCATTCTACCTGAATAATATCCAAATGTCACATCATGGAGTATAAATTTCTGCATGAACTGGCTCTTGTTTCAGTTTCTTACATCTTCTTGTACAGTGTTTATACAACTCCCCAGCCTCCTTCCCACTATCATCTAATTGGTTTCCACACTTTTCCTAAACAGTCACATTCATTTCTACTTAGTATCCTTTGCATTTGCCGTTTCTTCTTCTTTTTGTGCTCTTCCTCTGGCTCTTTGTATAAACTGGCTTCTTCTCATCATTTAATGATGACTTCCTGTCATCAGGTCTCCCAACAACCAGACAAGGCAACATGGGCCCTTCCCAGTGCCACCGGGCCTAGTGGGAAGTCAAAGGTCAAAGGCAGAAGGACTAGACAAGATGGTGAGGCCCACAGGAAAACAAAAGCTGGGAGTCAGAGTTCAAAATCCATGATCCCCAAGGGCAAGAATGGTGCTGCTTTTCCAGCCAAAACAAAGAAGACAGTTGCCCTAAAGAAGTTGTTGACCATGTGGCCAAGGAGAGGCCCAAAGCCAAGGCCACTGTTCCTCCTAGGGGTGGCGAGTCTAAGATGGTGCGTGAACCCCTGGTCAGGAAGACAGAGGCCCCCAAGGGCTTGAGGAGGCTGGGCATGCCCACCAATGCCTCATCATCCAAACTGACCAGTAGGAAGGCAGAGGCTGAAAACTAGAGCTGGGGTGGAGACATGGAGATCCTGCCTGAGCTTTTATTCCCCAATAAACCGTCACTCCATTTAGTTCATTGTAAACTATTTATCAATAAAGGCTTTTTTTCCCCTCACACACACACACACACAAAGGTAGCCCTTGATCCATCCTTCCCTCTCAGCCCTTATCATCTTGCTTGATTTTCTTCATGGCATCGATCATTAACCAAAATTACCTTGTCAGTTTAATACTTCACCTGTTTATTTTTCATCACCCTTTCTCCGTCTCCCACTGAAATACATGCTCCATGAAGTGAGAGTCTGCCAGTGATATTTATTTATTGCTGAGTCAGGGTATAGAATTGTTCCTGGCACATGGTGGGCATGTAGTACATCTTTTAATAATTTAATACTGCAATAAATACTTGTTGATAAATGACTGATTGAGTAAGTTAATAACTAGACTAGAGTTATCAGATTTAGCAATGAAAATACAGGTCACCCAGTGAGATTATAATTTCAGGTAAGCAATGAGCAATTATTAGTATAAGTATGTCCCATGCAGTTATTTGGAGGTTACTTATGCTAAAAATTATTTACGGTTTATCTGAAATTGTAATTTCACTGGACGTCCTTTAGTTTGTCTGGTTAAACCTAAATTACACATTTACCTTTGAGACTTTGTATTATGGATTCAATTATTTATTCACTCAACCTACAATATGTCAGGTACCATGTGGATGCTAGCTATAATATGGTTGAACAGGACATGGGCTTGGCCAGCAAGGATCATAAGATAATGAGACACCTACTCTCAACTTAAGAGAAAATACTGCATATACATTGATGGTAGACCTTTCAGAATTTGAAAATTCAGATTAAATCACACATATATTAAGAATTGTTTAGCTTAAGGCTTTGTTACTTTTAGAGGATACAAGATTTAGTTGACTAAACAGAGCAGATTTTTGATGAAGACATTATTGACCATCCGTGATATCTGGTTGTTCAGTTAAAAAAATAAATTTACAAAACAGCATTATACCTTCTATTCCCAAGGGTCTTTTTATAATGAGGTGAGAATTAGGTTTATTAGAAAAACTAATTATGTATAGAGATTAATCTGGCATTGTCCTCCTGTTTTTCAGATTGATGTTTTTCAATAGAACAAAAAGTACATCAAAACACTCACATTTCTCTCATTAGAACCCATGATCATTTGATCACTCCAAATATCTGATCATTTCTCCCCACCACCCCTCTCTCCTGTAATACACAACTAGGAGCTTTCGGTCTCAACCAGTAAGGCACCACTTCATGCTGCATGTGCGTGTTTGAGATTTTTCACTCAAATCCACTTAAATATATTTTACTTTTAATTTAACAAATAATGCATATAGCCCTTATTATGTGCCATCAGTTTTCTATCTTAGAAACCTTAAATAATTTTATTAATTCATTTTTAACTCATTTAACTTAAGACTTTTAATTATGATATGCACATAGGTGCTATTATTATCCTTGTTTTGCAGGTGGATAAGCCCAGTCTCCTCTAGTAAGTGGCAGAGGTAGATTTTGAGCCCATGAATTGTAGCTCCAAAGTCTTATTTATTAACCACTATTCTATGCCTTTTTTTTCCTTCAAAAATAGGATTAGAGTTTTAGGGTAAGGAAATACAACTAGCATCAATTAATGGGGGGGTGCTGTTTAGCTTAAAGTTCTGTTTAACTAAGGGCTTCTATTTGCAAACCTTTAGATAAAAATAATGTATCACTTTAGCATAAACAGACATTATCGTAAAAGTACTGTCTCCATAAAGTCAGTAAAAGTTTTCCCTCCATTAATGTGAATGTTAAGTATTTCACTTTTTTTTATTATGTTATGTTAATCACCATACATTACATCATTAGTTTTTGATAAGTATTTCATTTAAACCAGATTTGATGACCCATCTTCTTTCCTCTTTCCCATGCCTTTAGTTCATATTTTAGGTCTTAGAAAGATATTTTGTAAATGGGAGTCATATCCGAGACCCTTGATGCCCACGGAAATGACATTTGATCATCTCAGTTTAAGATACTAATGCTCCAGTAAAGTGAGTTTGATGTCTTCTGCAGAAAGGTGAACAAAATTTAATCAACATGACCAATCTGAAAATTAAGCAAATCTTCCTTAGTAAAGACATTATTTGCCATTGAATTTTGTGGATGATTACTTTAGAATCTGCTTAACTGTACCAGTGAAGATGCAGCCGTGAAATGAAAGTTCTATTCCTATATTGTACGTGTGTCTATGTATTTACATGTAGGTACATGTGTATGTGTAAACAGGGAGGGACACTCTGAATTCAACATACTGTAGTTCAACCAGTGGGGTCATATAGTTTTCAAGGGAGGTCCTAATATCAGCTCTTCCACTCACTACCATCAGTGTGACCTTGGAAATGTTTTCCTTAAATCTTGTCTTCTTATCTATGAAATAGGTACATTGACAGTATGTACCTATCATCACAGGCAGTTGAAAGGATTAAATGAACTATTGCAAGTAATTTCCAACAATACCTAGAATGAAGAATAGCTTATAAATGTTATTATTATTATTATTATTGTTGTTGTTGTTGTTGTAACTATTAATAATACTATACTTGTCAAATGTCCCCTTTTTCATAATTATTTATATGGTAATCCTTTTTGAGAGTAATTTCCTCACTCTTAATTCCCTAGCACTTCTTTTTAGGAATTTTTTTTTTTTTTTATTTGAGAGAGAGAGCATGTGCAAGCGAGAGAAAGATAAGAGTACAACCAAGTGGGGATGTGCAGAGGGAGAGGGAGAAGCAAGCTCCCTGCTGACCAGGGAGCCCAACGACGCAGGGCTCAATCCCAGGACCCTGAGATCATGACCTGCGCTGAAGGCAGACGCTTAACGGACTGAGTCACCCCTGGGCCCCTCTTTTTAGGAAATTTTTATATGCTGTTCTTTATTATAGTTATCTGCTATAAGTTAGCTGGAGCCTTTGCTCTGCTTCCCAAATGAAAATCTCCTTAAAGTGGGGGCCTAATCTTACTCATTTCTACACTTCCACTAATATTATACATCAGAGTGACTTCCAAAATATATGCATATATATGAATATAATAAATTAATTTTTTGAGTGAAAATAATTTCCTTCAGTAATGTTATGCACCTTAATCATTTCAGACATCAGCCTGCTTTCAAGATTTTCCCAGTGACACCAGTTTTCTACCCATGTATTAATAGCTTTTACAGTTCTATAGAAACATGGTTCAAGACCCTCATCTGTTTTCAAAATAATGGCCATATTTTTCTTCCTTTTGGTGTTGGTTTCTCTGGATTTTTAAAAAATCTTTTATCCTTTGCATTCTACTTCAGTTTGTTTTTAAGAAATAGTGATTTGGGGATGCCTGGGTGGATCAGGCGGTTAAGCATCTGCCTTTGGCTCGGGTCATGATCCTAGGGTCCTGGGATCAAGTCCTGAATCCGGCTCCTTGCTCGGCGGGGAGCCTGCTTCTCTCTCTCCCACTGCTCCCCCTGCTTGTGCTCTCTCTCTGACAAATAAATAAATATCTTTTTTTTAAGATTTTTTTTATTATTTATTCATTTGAGACACAGAGATACAGAGAGAGAGAGAGAGAGAGAAAGCATGAGCAGGGAAAGAGGAAGAGGGAGAGGGAGAAGCAGGCTCCCCGCTGAGCCAGGAGCCCGATGTGGGGCTCGATCCCAGGACCCCAGGATCATGACCCGAGCCGAAGGCAGACGCCTAACCATCTGAGTAACCCAGGCGCCCCAATAAATAAATATCTTAAAAAAAAAGGAATAGTGATTTGAACAAAATATTTATAATATTTGAGGAAAAAGTAATTTTATACATTGTTGTCCTATATTGTATTTTACTACCAGATAACATAATAAATTAAATTACAATGCTTCCTTCTAACACAC